CCCGATTTTGACTTGAAGTGTTTTTTTATTTTTTTTCTGTTGATATTTTCTTTAAAACTTTCTTGTTGGTTACTCGCTCTGCCCATGAAATTCTCAGCATCCTTCTGTAGAAGCAAATTACTAGTCTTTCTATATTTTTTTTTCTCATCCTTGAAGAAATTCCGCCCTGGGTATGACGATAAACTTCATCCGCGACCAGGGTAAGACGATAAACTACGTCCAACATCAAGGCCTCTGATCGGGGTGTGGTTGAGCAGCGTGGAACCGCCTCTTAATTAATGGTGTTTCCAGGTCCACCCTGACACGGGGTGGTAACACCTGTTAGGGTCCCATCTATGGGCAAATAGTTAACCCCGGAACTGAGGTAAAAAAGCATTATAAAAGTGTAAAAGTAGGTTTTAATACCAGAAATACTTTGTAAAAAATTATTACCAGCAATATATTTTCGATAAAAAATATTACCAGCAATAGGTTTTTAAAAGCATTACCAGCTATACATTTTTGAGAAAAAAGTATTACCAGAAATAGATTTGACAAAACAAAAATATTACCAGGAAAAAAATGTCGGCGTTAAATAACCCACTGCGGTTGATTTGCCTTGAAACAAAACAAAGCAAACCAAAACCTTGAAGAAATTGTCCAACATTTTCATATTAATTTATTTTTCATGTTTCTTTTGCTTATCTTATATATTCATTCATTCTTTCTTTCTTGAAAAACTGGTCTCGTTAGATCGAGACTTTCATATGGATCTTATGCATGGTTTCAAACTCATTAAGAAATATCTAAACTGTCAGCTCAATACCTCCGCATTCTCAGATCAATAGTCAAAACTGGCTTTGAGCGAATGAAGCCTGGAGCACATTGAACCTCATGAACTGACGCTACATGATACATAAGCTGTGTCAAATAACAGAAACCAGAACACTTAAGGACTTTCAACAGCAGCAACATCTAAAATGAATATCACATGTAAATCGAAGAGAAAATAATGACATAATCAAGACGTTGCCGTTCCACACTACTTTAAACAAAAGGTTAGGAAGGAAACCATCATTCCTTCCTGGAAAGAGCAATAACAGTTACTGGACATGAGAAACCTGCTTTCCTGGAAAATAGTTTTAAGAAAAAGATTTTATAAATTTCAAACGATAGTACCGGTTGCTCGGTTAATGAATGCAAATGTCTCCTTGTATTGAAACAGTTAAAATCATCTTTACGATTACTGTTTGTCGAATATTGGACATCCGGATTTATATATATATATATATTTATTAAAGACATTTTTTATGTTTAACGTTCTTTTTTTTTTATAGATACAAGTATTTAAGTAAATGCTCTGTTTATAATAAACAGTATTAAATAACATTTACCGGCCTGGATGTCCGAGAAATTTTTCATAGAAAATATTCGTCCTTTGACAGGATTCGAACCTGCATCCCATACGGAACCGTCATTTACGCTGACGTGCCTAAACTCTCGGCCATATATATATATATTGTTCTTTATAATATTTTTTATAAACTAATTATTTCCTTACAAAAAAGCAGAAGGTCAGGAATAGATTTTTTACTGTAAAGGTACAGAAAAGGATATGGAATTTTGATTATTGCCTGAAAATGGCAGAAAACTATGTAACAAAACGGTATATAAACAGCCTCGACTTCTTCAGTAGAGATTATAATGTCCACAACCCTGCACTGCATTCATTTTTGAACTTCATAACCGTTACCGTGTTAGTATAATATGTGCCTCGATTGGGTTACATAGCGATTTAGTAAATGAAGTTTAGATATGGCACAAGACCGAAAGTTAAGAGTACCCACGGAGAACTGACCACCGAATAGAGAAATAGTATCGTGAATAGAATAGAGATTAGTGGTCCGTATAGTAATAAAGGATAGAGTCGAAGTGCAGATCAATCCGACATACGCTCCCACCCATATATTCGTTTCCTCTAGGGTAACGTGGTCCATTTAATTAAATAATGGGATCGCCTCTGTTTACTCACTGGCGATCTATGTTCAAACTCAAGTGTCGGCAACGACACTTTATTCCTCTATAACAGACCTTCAACAGATGAAATGCATATCACATGTAAATCGAAGAGAAAATAATGACATAATCAAGACTTTGCCGTTCCACACTACTTTAAACAAAAGGTTCGGAAGGAATCCACAATCAATAATGGAAATAATAATTTGAGAAACCTATTTTCCTGAAAAATTGTTTTAAGAGTAAGATTTTATAAAATTTCAACCGAAAATGGCACTGGCTTGCTCGGTCAATGTAGAGACTTGGCAATATAGAGAAGTAAAACATCTTTAAAACCTCAATTTAACAGGAAGACACAATCATATATTCTAGCTAAATGCAGCTATCTACCTCAAGATATTTTAAAGGTTTGTTTAATAGAGCATGTAATCTCAATACTATGGCACTCGGTGAGAAGCAATTTCACAGTATTATCAATAATTGCTAGCCATTAAACCCTGACAGACGCCCAATCCATCTGTCTTATCTAGCATATCCCCAGCCTACCTATCTTCATCATGTTCCGTCTTTTTTTTTTCTTTCCTTCCAAATAGTTGTTTAATGTTTCGCACATGTATTG